ACGGGAGATTTGAGGGTTGTCCTATGTCTCTAAAGGTTGGAGGAGAAACAGATTTTGGGTGAAACTCCCAGCTTCTGGTGGAAATGACTGGAGGTGTTGGGTAGGCGGTGGAGGAGATTCAAGCAGCTGGAGAGGCGATGGCTTCTTTTGAGGACATGCCTCAGGAGAATGAGGGGCAAAGCCCAGCCTGGCAGAGCGAGCAGTGCCATGGTGGGGCCGCACAGCTCTGCCTGTTTCCTCCAGCTTCAATAAGTGGATGGGGAAAAGCTTCCCCTCCAGCTCCCCTCCTTCCTGCCATCCATCACTGAAGCGGCTGCTGCCGTGCTCCCCCTCCTTTGGACAGCTCCTGATACCATTCTGCTGCCCCTCAGTCCTGTGAGGTTTGGGGTGCGTTCCCCTGCCCTAGGCAGGAGGGTGCAGGCAGGAGCTGCCTGTCCTGGGATTTGCCTGCCCTGCAAACTATCACTTCTCTGCACTCCCAAGGCCCCTTAGACTTTGTACCATGAGGAACGTGGCCGTTGCAGTTATGTCTCGCTCCGAAGCTGGTGAGAAAAGCCAAAATCCTTAAGTTTTGCACTGAGTGTGCCCACAGGTCTCATCCCAAGCCTTTTCCTTCTGATCTGCCCCGTTCTGGTGTTTCTGGACTGGGCTGGCTTATGTGCCCTGTGCCTGGGAGAGGATCGTAGCTCTGAGGAAGCTTGACCTGCTCCCAGTTGGCAGAGAGTTCCATCCCAGTTCTGCGGGACCCTGAGGATGTGTTGGGGGTTGGGGCTGCTCCAGCAAAGCTGGGTGCTTGGTCTGTGGAGAATGGAACTGTGGCACATCTCCAACCTAGTGTCCAACTGGATTTCACTTCCATTTTCCTGATACTTAACCAATTTTGGTGGCAGACCTTTTATTTTAGGGGGTGCACTTGGTGCCAGGGTTGGATGGTGGGGAGAGAGATGGGCAGGGAGTGTTTTTTCCTGGGGAGCATCCCACGCTGGCCTCCATCCCTGCCTAGGACCCCCCTTCTCCCAGGGAGCTGCATCCTTTTGGTTCCCTCCCTGGAGAACAGGGCTGAGTGGGGCTGGCTGCAGCCATGCCCCTGGCCTCACTGGGGCTGTGTGTGAGGGTGCACACCATAGGGTGACCCTGAGGCAGCCGGACTACCCCTGTCGCTGCTCCAAACTGTAGTGGGAAGAGCTGCGTGTCCCTCCCTCACCCCTCCCCCTGCTTCCCTCTGCAGCCCAGCCCAGAAACTGGTCTTCAACAGAGTGAATGGCAAGAGGCCGCAGGTGCTGCTGCAGCAGATCTCTGCCCCTGAGGAGTGCTACACACTGGCCCACGAGGAGAATGTCCGCTTCGTTTATGAAGGTGAAGGTGGGGGAGTCCCTGGGGGCAGGCACCCCATGTTGCATCCCTGGGGGATGGCTGGAGGACACTGGGTTCCTCCTGAGGCAGCTGTATCATGCTGGGGACCTTGGTGGCAGGCATGGCATCCCCAGTCCCTTGCACCAGGTCCTGCTCCTCTCCTTCAGCCCCCCATCTTGGGCTGGGGAATGCCCACTGCAAAACCATCCCCTCCCCGTTTCCCCCCAGCCTGGCAGCAGGTAGAGCAGCAGCTGGATGGCAGCCGGAACGGGGAGAGCACCCACGGCCCTGTGCAGTACGTAGAGAAAACCCCCAACCCTGGACTGAAAAGTAAGTGGGAAGCAGCTGTGGCACTTGGGGGTGCATTAGGCTCATGGGTGCAGTGAGCTGTCATGGGCTCAGCTGGGTGCCTAAGCAGGGCTGTGATGGGAGATAGATCCCAGTGCTGGAGGGCTGGGTTGGGTCTGTCCTGCCGGTGCTGAGGCCACTCAGGGGGTGCTGGGGGGCACCCGGTCCCTGGCACAGTGGTGGGGATGTTGTACTGTGCCCCATCGGAGGAGCCCAAGCAAGCAGGACACCCTCGTGAGGACTCTTCTGAAAATGATGCCTTCTCCAGCCACTGAGGTGGGTTCAACATCGTGCTGGAGAGGGGCCCCCCATGGGGACCTGCATCTGCCGGGGCCCAGCAGGAGCACAGCAGGGATGGGCACTACGTGCTTCTCTGATGGCAGCTGGAGCAAGGGCTGTGAGCGCAGCCTGGGGGCTCCTGCAGCAGCTGAGGAGTCCCCAAGAAGAGAAAGTCCTTGTAAACCCAGCCTGGCCCTTTGGGGACAGGGAACAGGGCTGAGGGAAATTTTGGGGTCTTTTGTGGTTTTTTTGTTTTTCAGTGGCAAATGGTGTGGCTCAGGGCAGCATTCAGAGCTCTGCTCCCTTCTCCAGCTGCTCTGCTATGCTCTCCTCTCTCCCTTCTCTTTCAGACTTTGTTCCCATTGACCTGGAGGAGTGGTGGGCACAGCAATTTCTGGCCAAAATTCAAAACTGCTCATAAAAGGGAAGAAAGATTTGGGTTTGGGATTTTTTTTTTTTTAGAAGATAAAGCTGAGAGCATCTGGTCAGAACCCAGAATCAGTGGCATTTTGGAACCACGTTTTTTAAAGATGACCGAAATCAAGTGACCCATGCTGCCAGCCCAGCGGGACCGGACCACAGCCATGCCCGGCCACATGCCCACTCCCTGCGCCCGGCGTGGAGGAGCAGCGTGCGGCCCCAGCCAGGATTCCTTAAGTGCCAGTTTTTGGACCGCTGCAGTGCCTGCAGCCTCCAGCTCCCAGGGACACTGCGGTGCCGATCTGGGAATGAGGGAGCAGATCCCCTCCTGCGGCCATGGCCAGAGGGAGGACAGTGGGGTGCTGTAGCAGGACCGCTAGACAATAAAGCGCTGAAACTGCCAGTGGAGAAGCGCTTGTGCGATGGGGAACATTTGTTTGTAGGAGGCAGTGATGCTACTGAGGTGCAGCATCGTGCCCTGGGGTGATGTGGAGCGGGGTGTCCCTTGTGGCCAAGTCCCAGCTGAGCTCTGGAAGCCAAGGGCTCAGAGCATCTCCCTGTCCCCCTTGCAGGTGCTGCCTCGTCTGGGCTGGTGATGCCTTGGGTGTATAGTTGGAATGGGGGGGGATATATGGGTATCCCCAGAGGCCATGGGCAGGGGGCTCAGCTGGGGTTGCCAGGCTGCAGCATGGAGGTGGATAAAGCTGCAGGAAGAAGGCTGCCAGGGCCAGCCCTCCACTGCCATGGCAGCCCTTGGCATTGCTCTGACTAAAGCTGTGCTGAGTCCTGAGCTTAAGGTTCCCTCCTGGCTGTTGGAGTACAGTAGGGACTAAGGAAGGGTGGTTGTGGCTGCCTGCAGAGGAAAGAATGGGGGTCCCCACTTCTGCTCCCAGAGGTACCTGGCATGCAAAGACCCTGCAAGCCTATGGGCTTTTCCAGGCTGGACTGAGCCCTTCCCAGCTCGGGCTTTGGAAGCCATTCCTCCCCGTCAGTGTCCATCCCTGCAAGGCAGGGAGCAGGAGCCCAGCGCAGCTTGAACAGCCCAAGCCCACCAGGGCTGGAGCTGCTCTGACTCCAAAGGAGGCCAGAAACATCTGCTGGAAAAACAAAGATTTATTATTCCTATGATGGCAATAACAACCACATTGCAGCCAGAGGGAGCAGCAGCCACCTGGGGCCTGTGATGCTTCTCCCACCACAGCCTGGGAGGCCAGAACCTTGCCTGCAGCAAGCCTGTCCCTGAGCAGCAGCACCCATTGTGAGCAACCCTGGTCCTGCCCCGGGTGGTGGCACTGTGGCTGGAACCAAAATGAAGTGGCACTGTGCACAGCCGGTGGCACCGGCCTCAGGGAGAGGAGAAGGTTGTTACAGCACTGTGTGACAGAGATGCTGTGTGGTTAAGGCTTTCTTGGTGAGGCCAGGGTGTCCCCCGTGGTGGTGGGCTGGGAATGCCATCCTTGCCCTTGACTCCTCTATGACCGCCTCTGCTCTGGCATTAATGGGCACTGCAAGGGTTATGCTGCCTCTGTGGCACCTGCCCCAGGACTGAGCCTTGCATAGGGTCACCAGTACCCCAGGGGCACAGGTGCTGGGGGGAGGGGGTCCCAGCTCTCCTGGGTGCTGCAGCCTGCAGTACCTGGCTATGCCTGTGCTGTGATTTGGCATCCAGCCCTCCCACAACCCCCCTTTCCCACTACTCCCCATCCCAGGCAGAGGAGCCTCTGCTGCATCCTGCCATATCTCCCCTTCAAAATAAACCCCAAACCCACCAGTTACTGGGAGTCCCAGCACTTTCCTGGTGGCTCTAGGCCCCCCTCCTACCACACAGCATTCCTACTTTTTTGTGCACAGGCGCAGGCCCCAGGAAGGCCGCAGCTCCCAAGGACTCTGAGGTGCTCCAGGGGTGCCTGGCACCTGCTGGCTGCTTACTAATTAAACCACACATCGTTAAGATCCAGAGAAATTCTTCGTAACATGATGCACCATCATTTTTAACAAACAACAACATTAGGCAAAGGGGAAAAAAAAATGGAACAGGAAAGAACGAGTTGGTCACAGGAACAAAACAAAAACCCAACCCAAAAATACAACCCAACCCCTGACAATGCAATCACTAGAAGGGAATCAGCACCCTCGCCATAAATATTAATTCGTTCAGTTATGTGCAATCGTGTGTATTACTATAGTGCAAATAGCTCTGCATTGATCGCGGAGCAGTGGCCCGAAGGGGACTGCCCCAGGTGACACAGGGACTAGTTAAGGACAGACAAGAATTCACACGGATTTAAAACAAACAAACAAAAAAGCAACCCACCCACTGGGAGATGCCAAAAAAAAAAAATCCCAGTTGCTGCCTCCGACATGGCATGGGCAGAGCCAGGCAGTGCCAGTGCCTGAAGCACCATGCTCAGCAGCATCCCCACAGCCAGGATGTGCCTTCACTCCCTGCCTGCTGCCGGAGCAGCCCAGTGTGGTGCAGAGGGGACAGGGACGAGGATGGGGATGCAGGACAGGCGTGCTCTGGTTGGAGCTGTGTGGGTGCAAGGGGAGAGCACAACAGGATGCAGTGAGAGCATCACTGGCCTTCAAACCTGCTCCTGCTGCTGGTTAAACCTTTCATGGACGCAACAGTTAAGCCCAGCAGCACCCTGCAGCACCTCTCACCTGTCCCACTGAGCCCAGCAGTGTCCCCAAGCACCCTGTGACACCTCTCAGCCCCCGCTGCCTTAGCCCAAGCGCTGGTCCTGTGGCCGTACCCATCACGTGCTGTACCCAGGGCGAGCTCTGGGCATTTCTCCACCACCACCTCCTTCCTTCGGCTCAGTGCCAGCTCCTGGCAGGGCACAGCCACCTCCCCCTGTGCCAGTGCCAGCTCCTCAGGCCAGCCGTGCCTCCATGCAGGCAGGAGGGGACAGCAGTTTCCAGGTTAAAGGAGACGGAGCCTCCTCTGTGAAGGACGGGAGGTTTTGCCATGTCCCCTTCAGCTCAACACAAAGTGCTGCTCAGGGCACTCACAGTGAACATGGGGCAGGGTTTGGAACTGAGCTATTGGACAGCCTCCTGTCAAACCATGAGCAAACCACCTCACGATAAACATCAACATGCAGGTGAAGACCACGAAACAGCGTCCCGACGGGTGCGAGAGTTGGGCAGGGAAGAGGGGTGCAGAGCGAGCATGATGCCCAATCCCCAACACCCATCTCCACCCACTCAGGTTTTCCCCTGCTTTTTTGGGCTCTTTTTTTTTTGCCATATAGATGGGAAGGAAGGCTGGAGAGTGGAAGTGTCACATGCGTGCACACACTCACACAGACCTGTGCCAGCACGCAACACACACGCACCACGCATGCTCCGGACGGCAGAAGGGACAACGCCATCCTCTCCACCCCCCCTCCCCAGTGAAAAGTTTCTTACATTTATACATTATTTAAGACACGTCGATATATAAATTACTGTCTCTATATATACTATGTATAGGCAGCAGGGCCAGTCCATGATGAAGGGCACCTCTGGGGGCTTCTCCTCATTTCCCTCTGTCCTCTGTGTAGTGCTGGAAGCGAGTGAAGCTCATGAAGACTTGCTCCAGGGAGATCTGGCTCACCGAGTAGTCTTCCAAGCGATACTTCTCTTTGGCTTTCTCCAAGGCCCCGAAGACCTGCAAGGGACACACGGCTGTGACTGCAGAAGAACCCCGTCAGGTTTGGACTGAGAAAGCAGAGGAAGCTTTTTCCTCCAAGAAGATCTGGGGGAAATGAAACCTTCCCTGGCAGAAGGGTGGTAGACAGCCAGGAAATGGGTTATTTAGCAGAATACTTGACCCCATTTAAAAAAAATACATGTTTTATATATACTTTACATATCTATGTGATATGTATATATTTTTGACATATTACTTTTTTTTTTTTTAATATATACCCCTGGACTGGGATCCCAGCCCAAGCTTTCTGCTCAATCTATTACTTATGCATATACACCAGTGCCACATTCCCAGCAGGGAGATGCAGCTGCATCCCTTTCTGTACCCTCCTGTCTCAGAGTTTTCATGAAATACTTTGAGATGTACAAAAAACCCACCGTAACCAGCAACATCAGTTCTTGCTCCCCAGGAAGAACCTTCTTTTCCTTTGAGGGCTGCGGTGGAGGGCAGCCAGCTCAGGGGGTGGACAGAGGGGTCCTGGGTGCTCGCACTGGCCATATGTGCCAGTTCAGGCCAGGAAGTGGGAAAGGGTCAGGGAGAAAAACCTCTTTTTAATTAGTTTGGTTTTTATAAAACACCTGGATTTTGGACAGAGAATGGCTCTGGAAGAAAAGGAAGATGAGCTGAGCATAAAAGCAAAGCATCAAGAGCACATGAAGGGGCAGGAACAGGGCTGCCCATTCAGCCCCCTCCTGTGAAGGGGTGGGACGTGCCCCAGCACCCCCTTACCTGTGCCCAGCTGAGGTTCTTGTTGGTCAAGTGATAATGTACCATGCCTTGGTGCTCGTGCTTCAAGACACTGCCTGCGAGAGAGGAGCAAGGAGAGGCTCCAAGTTAGGGCACTCGCTGAAGCTCAGGACCAGCACCCTGCCCTCCCCTACAGGGCAACCACGCCCACAACAGTACCTGGGAAAGTCTTCTCCACAAAGACTTTGAAGGCCTGCAGCTCGCCCTCCTCCTCACTCCGCGTTTTGGCCAGCAAGGTGTAGCCACTGCCAAACTTGCTTTTCAGGTGCTGGGGGCTGCCCAGGCACTTGAACTGCCCGTTCACCATGATGGCCAACCGTGTGCACAGGGCCTCACACTCCTC